AATATCAATGTATGCACCAACCAACCCCAAAAAGTGTCGCCTGGAACAAATGAGTTATTTATACTTCACAATTTGAAAAATGATATGCTCCCGAAACATCCGTGAACTTTCCGAAGAAACAAAGATAAAAAAAAATAAAAAAAAATTACTTACCTAATTACAAAAAGTAAGTTTTATTTTTATTTTTTAAAACTTTCATATTTCATATATTGTAATATATATTTATATGTATTAATATATATGTGTGCATGGTAACCGGCGTTCGGGACGGGCCGAACGCCCAAACCCGAACACCCGAATGTATGGGACCCCTTGAGGATGCGTTCGGCCGTTCGGGTCGAATGCGGACCCAAAAAAAAAAAAAAAAAAACAAAGTCATCAAAAAAATATGGAAAAAAGATAAGTTATGGAGAAAAATAAATCAAACAAGATTTGCTTGAGCATTACGTCTGAATACCTTACCAAATTTGAAATAAAAATAAAATACGGAGAATGAATACTAATAATAAAAATAAATCTAAATAAAAAGATAATTAACTTTAGTCAGTGCGCGAGCATGTTTTCGACACTGCCATCTTTGGCCATTTTTCATTTTTTTTTTGGCATAGCTAATTGCCCTGAAATTTACAGATGAGAAACATATAAAATAATATGCTTCTGAGGCGTCAGTCAACTTTTCGATGAAAAAATATATAGAAGATTAAAACAAAATCAGTTACCTGATTATAAAAAGTGACTTTTTACTTAATTTAAAAATTATTATTTGCCTTTCCTGCTGGTCCGTCAACTCTGCAGTTGCACAATTATGCTGCATGGCAAACGCATATCGACTTAAGATTACACTTATTTTACTGCACTTAAATAAAAAGGTATGCAATGACCATGGTGGGCATTATAGAGAACGTGCATGATTTTGTGTTATGGGAAACACATTTTCTTATAGCCTTCTATTGAGAGAAACAGAAAAAAAAAAGGAAAAAAAAACGAGAAACAAACATAAAATCAATCTCTTAGATTCATGAAACCTAAAGCTAGTTTTCATGATGTCAATATAAAAAATGCATCCTAAACACACAACGACTTTATATAAAGGCCGCTAGAATGTAATTCTGAATTTTTTCCTGGCCTAGATATGTCAAGTTTTTAACATAATGAACAACCATATAATTCCAACATGATTTCAACTGTTTATCAAATGATTTTCAACTGTTTATAAACATATTTTCAACACATTGAGCGAAATTTTAAACACAAAATCAACTGTTGTTAAACTGTTTGTATACAGTTTAAAACAACCATACCAACACAGAGAACATGATCAATGTCTAACCAAACCAGATTGATTGGCTTCCTGTATATATAAATGAACCCCTCTCTGAAACAGTTTATAAACTATTAATAATCTGTTTTTATACGCAAAGGTATGCGATAAACTTTCTTTCAATTACACTATTTTTTTTTCTGTTGTAGCCCGTACCGCTTACTACAATAAAACAAGCAAGTTCACCTAAAAACAAGAATCCCATACTACCCGACCTACGTGCCAATCACCTCACAATAGTGGAAGAGATCCTTGGCTCAATTCTCGTATTCCCGCCTTTGTGCGAAAGCAACTCTAAGAATCAAACCCGGTTTTGAAACAATAAGAGAGATATATGAAAAAAATACCCCAGAGATACATCGTTCGAATCCTGAATCCCTGTCCTCTTAGACCCCACAACTCAAAAAGCTAAAGAAAACACCGTATAGGAACATGGTTCAAATCCTGATTCCCAATCCTCATGAAAAAAAAAAAAAATTAAAAAAAAGCGCTCAAAAGCACTGACTTCCCTGATTCTCATTCCTCATGAAATAGAAAAACTCATAAAAACCGCACACACTCGAAATACTGCACCAAAAGTTCAAGGCTCGATTTGCACTGACTTCCCTGTCCGCGCATGCTTCAACTAATTCAGATACAACCAATTGACAGTCCAACTCCAAATCCTATCCCGTCTCTTCGCAAATCGCTTAACCACTCGTTCAATAGTTAGAGTCGGGAAACAACAGAAAAATTTCCTAGAATTAAATAATCATTCTATAGTAAAATTACACTCTAAATTTTAAATTTTAATTCCATCTTAAAAAATGTCATTCCAATTTTAAAATTTTATGTCTTACTTGAAAACTTTCCTTCCAAGAATGGGTTATCCCTTCTTATTTGAACTAGATGCTAGAGATAGAATGAAAGTCTGGATGAGTTCATGAAATATTTTATTTGGAATGTCATTCTAAGTAAGGATTTTTAGTCATAAATAGGTTAATCCAATCTAAATTAGACGATATTTGTTGTAATAGAATGAAAGTTTAATTAAAACATTTCATAAACTCATCCAGACTTTCGTTCCATCTTGAACAAATAGATGGAGTTGAAAGGGAAAACTCTTATTTGTACGGGACTTTATCAAATAAAACTGGAAATTCTAGAATTGGACAAACATTGGAATGATAATTTATAAATATAAAGGATTTTTTCTTTATGATTTTTTTTTCAACTTTCATTTATCGTGGGAATTTTTCTGTTGAATCCTTCATCCTCATCTCGCGTACTAACTCGGGAGTTGCTTTGGAATAAATGATCGAACAGTTATATTTCGATCAATCATGTGAAGGGGGCACGCAATTACAACACTTTTTTGCTGCTTGCTTCCCTAGGAACTGTATGATTGGCCATTCTTGAACTCGAGAACATCGGCATGGCAAATAGTCTTCTCATTTTTTGCTACTTGGAAACACGCTACATATGACTGTATTTGATTGACACTCATCCGAGTGCCTAAAAATCCCAAGAAGTTGACTCATCATTCGTCCACTTTAGTTAAAGGTTTTTTTGGTAACACTGTTCAAACCGTAGTCTGATCTGTTCGGATGTAATCTGGTCTTGTCTTCGCTCGAGCATAACCAAACTCACATCATCCATCGGGCGAATTCCGAACGCATCGTATCTGACCTTCCCCAAATCGCATAAAAACTTGAATTCGGCGTAAGCACACAAGATATAAGCCAGCGGGGGGCTTGTACTCTTTCCCATAGGGATCCCCACTACTTGCTTCAACAACACCCCTGAGGCCCGTGTATACGTGTGCTTCAGCTCCACCCCGACGAAACTTTTTATCTGCTGCAGATTTACAGTGCGTCAATGATCATCCCCTGTTGTTCGCCCAAAAGTACAACCCTTTTATCTTGAGTTAACCCACATAAAGCTACGACCCTTTCCCATGGGTATTCCACTAACCAATCCACTGCTTCCACCGTTCCACACTCTCCTCGTGCGGTAACTTGCTGAACATGTGCTTGATATTATACGACATCGTGGACAACTCAGAACTAATCCCCATCCTTCTCCAAATCCTCTTGTTTATCCGGCCCAACCTTGAGACCAGTAAAGCAAGAGACCAAAGGTTAAAGTGCCAGTCTCCAGGAAAGGTGTACAACATATGGTTGAGAGTTTTGACAACTATCCTACAACCTCTGATCGTAGGCTCAGAGTACGTAGGACAAATTGGGCGGAAGGGGTGAGGTGCTTATGCTTTGGCATAACATAGGCCCTCCCTATCTTCCCCTTCTTGTCCCATTGCGCCAACTTCATCAAGCCTGAATTCAACACCTCCACTCTCATCGATTCGATCACCGTCTCCTCCTGCTTCCTGATCACAACATATCGTGTGCTTGCTACGAATAATTCTCGCAGGGCTTCGTAGTATACCTTTGGAGATATCACTAGGGTTTCCCTCGTTTTTTTTTCCAAAGGTGTCATTCCAAGCCATTCAAGTCTCTTCCTCAAAAGGCGCACCTCCCTCACGTCCAGGTACTTCGTCTGCTCGTCTGACAACGCAATCAAACAAGTCTCCACATCACCTCTTCCGATCCCTGGCTTGGGTCCGCTCCAGTTCACCCATCCTTCGAAACCAGCCTTAATCTTTTGCCTCAACAATCTTCCTCGGCTCCGATGTGAAAGTTTCGGTACGTTGTTCGCATTATAGAGAGGGTGAATGTCTTCCACCTCCTGCAATCGAAAACGCATGTGACCACCTATTCGAGGATAGGGAAAACCTGCATAAGAGCAGGTCGCCACCTCAGCTCGAGAATAACCCCGCAACGCGTTTTTCCCCCATACCATGCGCACCCCACATCGCGCATGTTTCCTCAAACAGGTTGGAATCTCCATCTCCTCAATTTTGTCATTCAAAAGCTTCCTAACTTCGACAATCTGGATCTTGTTGTCAAATTTGAACTTAACTGTTGTTTTGGAATCCAGACTCTATCCGTAGTCATCCTTGATCACTTTGTCAATTAGTTTTCGCACATACGTTGTAGTTGCTACTTCCTCGAAATTTTGGGTTGCTCTCGTCGTCAGCCTAATCAAGGCTTCAAGGTTAGATTTACGCAAAACCTCAATACGGTTTGGATTGCATAAGATCGAGATAAGGAAGTTCTTATCCTTGGTGATCTTCGGTTTCTGCCTTCGCAAATGCAAAATCTCAATATCCACACCCATCTCCATGTCCCACTTGCACATCTACAACTTACACTGTCTACTGTTCACCTTCACCTCAGACTTCCAAAAACTCGATCTGATAAACTTTCATCCCCCACACCAACAGCTTCCTCCTCTGAAGTGTAAGGTGAACTTACTACATCTCGCCACCTCCCGTGTCGACAAAACTTGGAAACAGTTCGTGCTCCAATTCTCCGTATCACTCGTCGTAGCTGTGATTGGTACAACTGTATCTAGTTTCAGAATACCCCTGTTCCACGATAGTATCCTCCTCCTCTCTTGTTTCCCTTTTCTTCTCCAACCTCCGTCTATCCTCAACTTCATCTTCGCCGTCGAGTTCAAGGTCGGAGTCTATCGGACACCATTGTCGGATATATGTCTCCTCCATCAATACCAATTCGGCTCCCGAGCATCAATCGATTAGAATCAGTACATAAGATTCATAGCCGAAAGTCCTCCACCATCTATACAAGCGATTTTGTTTACGGCCTCTGTTACATACAGAAAAATACTCCCTCCATCGCATTTTACCATCCCTACACATTTGTCCGACGCCCGACAAATTGGAGAGGTAAGTACATACACACTTCCGCTATCCTTCGTAAAACAATCCATCCCATACTGGTTGTACAAATTAACCCAAGACACCACACACTTCTGCATCCAACGGATCTGGTTACACAATGTGAGAGCAATTACCACTAGCCTATTATAGAGCAAATCAACAGTCTCATCGTAGATGTTTTCTTAGCTAAATTCAGTTAGACAACCACAAAGCACCCACAACTAACTCACCGTTCATGTATCACTCTCCGCATCGACTTCCTCCTCATTGACCTCATCTGTCGGATTATCTCCCATCTCCTGCTCCAGGCCCCTCAGTTCCTCCTCCCCGTAAGCTTGTTGTGTACGGTTCTCGACGATAGCTAAAATAGCTTCCATCTTCTTCCCTTCGTACACCGACTCTTCGGATAAGCAAATTCTCTTCAATTCATCCACAATCATGTTTCTCAATTCCCTAAGGTTCTCAGTCACAATCTTAAGCTTCCCGACCGACCCCGGGGAAGTCGGGATCTTCCCCCTTCCTGTTACAAGTGTCTTACGTGAAGGGTTTTTCTTCATTCAAGCTGGAGTCTTCGTTTTGCTGTCTGCTTAGCACGTGTTTCCATAGGTGGACTATTCCCCACCGGCTTGTCAACACCCCTTTCCCTTTTTTTCGAGATAACCTGTTGTTCCGTCTTACGACTCAAAGTATCAACGTCGCTCTCATATGGTTCCACGTAATCATCATCGGACAACGACTTTACCACCCGTTGCTTTCCTTTTGATCGCTCCATCTCGTCCCTTTCGTATCGAAGCCGAAGCGACTCGTCCAGTTGTCCCATATGAAGGGAGATTTCCATTAGCATCTCCTTTCTCATCAACTTTCGGTCCTCCTCCTCCTTTCTCAAATTTTCCTCCTTTCTTGTCGCCCGCCTTTTTTCCGCTAAATGGGCTTCTTCCATCGCCTTAGCTTTCTCCTCCTCCCTCTTCTTACGATCCAGCTTCTCCATCCTCCGCTTTCTCTTCTCTTCTCTCTCTGTGTTCTCAACATCAAACGCCTCTTTCATAGTCGCAAAGGATGCGGCCAGTTCCTCTAGCTGGTGCTTAACCCCCGGATCTTCGAAGGCAGCTCTCGGCTCCTGATACCACGCACGCTGCCTTGAGGATATCGACCTTTCTCGTTGACCCAGATATCTTGTGCTTCCATCCCTACCCAATTTTGGGCACTGGTTTCTATAATGCCCTGGCTCACCACATTCGTAGCAAACTGGTGCGAATCGGTGTGGATCCTCCCTGTGGCCTGTATGACTAGAGCTCCCTCGTTCCATCGCGTGCTCCCTACGTCCATCCCCCTGCCTATCACGTGATCCCTCGTATCCACCGAAATCCCATCCTCAGTCATTGCTCCGATCACGACGCTCATCCCGCCCATAATCCCGATAATTCGTACCCATGCCGTGTATCGACTCTGATTCGCTCATGTCGAACAAAAGTCGTAGCCATTCCTTACACCTATCTTGACAAAATCTTTTGACGCCGTTAGACTAGTATCCTCCCGTCCAAGCGTCTCATGCAGACTAATGTAACAATCCTGCAGACTACTTCACACGCTGACTCCCACCATCACCAGTCGACAATACCTATGAAGCCGGTCAACGTTTATTTCTCCCGCCAGTGCATGCAACCCTCCCATGCTAAGCATACACCTCCTATAGTTTTACAACACTACTCCCTCACAACTTCGTTCAACGTAGATATGTCCACGTCAGAAAAAACGTGCTCACACTCACTCAGTGTCTTCCAAGCGGGTTCACACGGGCATTCAGTAGATAACTGATTATGTGAGAAACATTCATAAGCAAATCACACAGTCACCGAAGACACAGTATCAAAAAACTCATGTATATTCACGTACAAGGTACACAAGCACACATGTACAACTGATTGCATGCCGATTGTGATATGGCTCCCCGACCGGTTTCGACCGCCGCCATGTGGTCACCATACTACACCCTTCACTCAACTCCTTCTTTCCGCTAACCCACCTCCGCAAACAAACAGTAGTCGCTTGCGTCGGACCCGGAAAAGACCGGGGCTCACACAATCATGTCTAATATAGTTTACTTACTAACCTACTCGATAGCCTGTACTGCTTACAAGTTACTACAATAATATGACCAAGTTCACCTAAAAACTAGAATCCCAAACCACCCGACCTACGTGTCAATCACCTCACAATAGTGGCAGAGGTCATTGGCTCAATTCTTATATCCCCGTCTTTGTGCGAAAGTAACTCTACGAGTCAAACCCAGTTTTGAAACAACAGCAGAGATACATGGAAAAAACAGCCCAGAGGTACATGGTTCAAATCCTGAATCCCTGTCCTCTTAGACATTCTTCACCACATTTAGAATAAAAAAATAAATTTTGTCCGATGCCTATGTAATTTCCATTATTTTGCATCGCGCCCCTCCGACAGCCCAATTACCCTGTCGCAAGGGGCACAACTTTCCAGTGTTTCCACAGTGCCCTTACTAGACGGCCAGTCTCATTTAACCGGTCCATGTGCCATATGCCCTCATGAGCCTCATACATCTTTCCATCATGCCCTCGCTCCAGAAATTCGGATTTGATGCAAGTGGTCGTTGCTGCAAAAAATGACACCGTGCGTGTGTGTGTGTGTGTGTGTGTGTGTGTGTGTGTGTGTGTGTGTGGACAACGAGGGTAGCGGGGTGAGGAAGAGGGGAGGGGAGAGGGAAAAGAGAGGAAGAGGAGGTGGTAGGAATTCGTGACGAACCGCTTTCTGTAGCGCGCCATTGCAATGAGGGGTCCTAAGCTGGGAAGGTTGGGCCAATTGCGGGAGATTGGGATGGATGGAAAATTGCATCAGTGTCCTTGTTTCTTTGTCTTTTTCGTCGCCTCTTTTCGGATGGTTGGGTTCAGAGTCGGGTGAGTCTCGGGACGATCGATTGATTAATTGGTTGTGTCTGCAGAGCGCCGCCAAGCGCGCGATTGATAAATGTTGACGTCATTTCTTTTTGGTTCGGTTTCGGAACTTTTTGGGGGCGGACATTGCGCGGGAATTTGCTTCGTTCTTTTTGAATTTTCTTTTTTAATTCCTTTTCGAATTTTGTCGAGCCCCGATGGCTATCGGAATTGCGTACTTTCCTTTCAGAACATGTACTCTTGCTTTTTCGCATTAGTTAGGAATTTAGGAATTTTGTAATTAGGACTTTCTTTTGCCGCCCGACGCCTTTTTGCAGCTACAACAGAATTCTGATTAGTCGGCGCCTTTAATCGGGTGTGTAACTGTAATCTTGGGATTAGCGCCATTGTAACTGTATCTTTCTTCTTGCACTTCATCTTTCCCGCCCTCCCTCTCTTTTTTTTTGCTGTGATTTTTTTAAGCCGCGGACTGCATGCTCGGATCGATGCGTGGAGAATGGCTGCGTCCCCCACGCCGCGGCCCGGTCATGCAGAACACAGACACTCCCTCTCTAATCTCCCTCCTACATCCTAGTAATTCCGTGTTCTTCGCGCATGCATGCACGACTATAAATTTTGTCTGCGCGATTTGTTAGCTCATAACCAGCAGTTGGAAGCTCCGGGTTGCGCGATCAGAGAGGGTCGGCACACTAGCGAAGTAAGAGGTGAGTAGAGCAGGAGTCGGGCGACCCGACAAGCTGGTGCCAAACGCGCGGGGTTGACGCGAGCCACGACGGACTGTGGGCGCGGGCAAACCTGACGGGTGCGGGAGGACTAAGTGGGGTGACGGCTTCGTGGGCTGGTGCGCGACGACGGACTGTCCGCATAAGAGAGAGAGAGAGAGAAAGAGAGAGCTGGGGTTGATGGACGCGGTTTTGTTGTTTCTTTTATCTTTTCTCCCTCCTGTCTCGTGTACATAAATTTTGATTTCGGCTCCAGGAAGTTTGCCCGTTTTTCTATTTCTCGAAATTCGGACTAGGATTTTTGCTCGCACTTATCTTCGTGATTCCACCTCAGATGTACTGTGTGCACGTTGTTGAATGAGTGAATGTATGGATGCAATTTTCGGTCAGTTATCTTTCTGTCGGAATCCTTGCCTTTGCTTTTAATGGATGCACTTGTAAGTAGGATAAGAGTTTTTGTGCAATCGACAATTCTGCTCTCGTTTTTGTTGGTCACTTGATCGGACTGTTGCGTTGGGTGCATCTTGCATATACGGAGTGGACGCCGCGCGACTTGATCTTAGCACTTACATGCGCTCCTGTGCGTCGGCTCGTCAAATCTTAAAAGAAATTAGCGATTGCGGGGATATTGTCTGATCGAACGTGGCAGTTCTGCGTCTAATGGCGAAGCCATCGTTCCTTATAAGCACGAGTAGGCGCGGCTTGATTGCGCGGCCTGCACGTGCTTGCACACGGCGATCGCCTTCGACAAGGATCTTCCCTGAGGCACCTTGTAGCTCTACGATGACACGATCCTGGAATTCAGACTCGTCATACGACCCGGATGACTTCACCCCTTGGACAAACGAACTCCTCCGACAAAGATACCCCTGCCTAACCGAGAACCGACTGAGTCCTCGGGAATTCCACTGCGCCACCACTTGCAACCCCCGGTGCTCTGATTTCCCCTCTCCGGACCATACCCACTACTTAATCCAGCCCGGATTTGTTGTTATCACCACCAGTTTCCCTCCCTTTCGCCTCCTCCTTCCGTATCACCAACTCAGCGTCGTCCCGTGGCCGGCCATAGCCCAGTACGCCCTGCGGAAACTGCTGACGACGAGGCAATCAGAGGACCCCGGAATCCCGGAGGCCCAACCCAAACGCGCGACGGACGGCGCCACGTGGCAACTCCCGACGGCCTGAATCACCGGAACCCCATCCACCCCGAAGGAACCCTCCCATAAACCGCCGTCCCCGAAACCAATGGCTCGCCCGGGCCTGAGCAACCCACGCGTACCATCTGCTTCGTGACCTGAGGCGATCCGCCCTCTCCGCAAAATTGCACTCGTGCCCCTGAAAAACCCTGCCACAGGAAATCTCAGTTCCGACCTGGGACTCCACTTTCCCCAAAAATCCTTGGCACACCCCTTTTCGCACTTCCAGTCCCACATCCTACTCCGATCAGGAAGTCACGCTGGGCGTGAGGTTGGGCGTCACAAATTCGAACGGCTACAAGTTTGCCTGTTCGACCGTGGACCGCCGGGCACCTTCCTATCTTCCTGCCTTTCAAACCCAGGACTATGGCCTACGGGCAGACCCTGGGCCACACGATACCTGGAAGACTGAAGTGCAATTTGGAAACTCGGCCACGCGACCATTCTGCAGAGCTGAGTTTCTAATGCATTTGGAACTCAGGGCCTGACTCGACTGCAGAAACCTTGTTCCGACCAACGAATGCATGTTCAAACTGTTTTTGTGACCCCCGCGTAGTTACCCCTAGTTTCTATGGAAATGGTTCTCTTCCCCCCCAATTAAAGGTACTTGTGGAGACTTCGGCCTGGAGGCCCGCGGTTGGTGAACTTCTATGGCAATGTCGGGTCTTAATTCTCTAAATAAAATATATTTCATAATAAAAAAGTAATAAAATCAGTGCTTAAAACCACACAAGTACTTTGCAGTCTTCTCTCCGATATGGATTTCTCTAGTGCACTCATAGCAAACAAACCCGGGAGGGTGCAAGTTGCCTATCTTCTCTGTTTTGCCTGGCGCCCCCAGCCATTTCCATCCAATTGGCCAAGCCCCCAAAGGTGCGACGGGTTTACAGCCCCCGTGTAACAAAATGGCTAGGACATGTACTCGTGGTAGTACCTACCGCATTTTCCGTACCCCCCGCCTCGAATGAACTTGGACAGGAGGGGCAGGCCGATTCGGCTTCCGCGTTAACAGCCACCCCAACCTGTAGGTACTGGTGGTTCGTTGGCAGGGGATTCAATGCTGCTAGGGCCCCTAGGGGAGGGTCAACTCTCAACCCAACTCTTTTGGGCCAGTCTACAAAGTTCGTCCTTGGCGCAAAACATGTTAGAAGGGCCACCTTCAAAACATGGTAGAAGGGCCACCTTCAAAACAGGTTAGAAGGGCCACCTTTAAATTTAGAGCTAAGTTTACGAGTCTTGTGGACAAGGGTTCATCATGATGCACAAACAATACCTCTCTCCAAACAAAGGCCATAGGTTTTGCTAATTTTGGCTCGTTTGTCAGTTGCATGAGCAACTCCCTACCCATCCTCACCCTTTCCCTGCAAGACGCAGGTTTCGCACCTTTATATTGAAGATATTAAGCCCTTGCTTACACCTGGTGGCCAGCTCATTTTTCACCCAATTGCCCCTTCAACCAACGATATCAAGACGTTCTCTCAGCATTTCACTTGGTTTTCTTCTCCCTCCATGTTGGTTTTACACCTTAGTATCCGAGATATCAAGCCCTTTTTTGCCA